TGCCTACAAGCCTGCCCCTACCTATGCCCCGGCCCCTGCCTACAAGCCTGCCCCTGCCTACAAGCCCGCCCCGTCCTATGATGTGAGTATAATCCTGTTTTCATTGGAAATTCTGAAGACATTAAATGAAGACACTGGAGAGTATCTTATATCAATTTGACCTCTAAATCTCCGAAACAGGCTCCTGCTAAGTACGACTTCAACTGGGCCGTGAAGGACGACTACTCAGGCAACGACTACGGCCACCAGGAGTCCCGCGACGGATACAACACACAGGGATCCTACTACGTGCAGCTTCCCGACGGTCGCCTGCAGAAGGTCACCTACCACGTGGACGGCGACTCAGGCTTCGTGGCCGAGGTCACCTACGAAGGGGAGGCTCAGTACCCTCACGAGCCTGCCTACAAACCTGCCCCAGCCTACAAGCCTGCCCCAGCCTACCGACCAGCTCCTTCGTACAAACCCGCCCCAGTTTACGGCTGAAACTTCTTCAAACCTCCATCCTTATAAAACAAAAAATCAAAAACACACACAAAAAAAAACCCTGTGATATTTATTACCAATAATAAAAATATAGATATGACGTAATGAACTCCTATTGCTTTGACCTCCATCGATGATTTTTGCCGCAATGGAAGGACGTTGCTAAGAGTTTGTTTTAAACCACTGTGGTCAACAAACGCCCGATACTTGAAGATGAGATTTGTGGTCATAGGTTTGCGCGTTGGAGGTCAGAGCTCCTTCGCGGGCCGATGGGCGGTCACTGCTGAGGCCCAGGGGTGCGTGCAAAGGCCCTCCATGCGGGTAATTGCAGTGTTTTGTTACGGTTCTGGTCGACGGTGGTTGTTGTGGTAGGTGCCTATATGTGAGTGCTACGAAGACACAAAGAAGTGCGCGGTAATATAGTTATATAAGTATATATGTATTAGTGTGTGTGTGTGTATACATACATATGTGTATATATATATACATACATATATATATCTATATATATCCATATATATCTATCTGTCTATCTATCTATCTCTCTATCTATCTCTCTATCTATCTCTCTATCTATCTATCTATATATGAATACACACACACACACTTGCATATATGTATATATATATATATATATATATATATATATATATATATATGTATATATATATATATATATATATATATATATATATATATATATATATATATATATATATATATATATATATGTACACACACACACACACACACACACACACACACACACACACACACACACATATATATATATATATATATATATATATATATATATATATATATATATGTATATATGCGTATGTGTATATGTATATATACATACATGTATATATATATATATATATATATATATATATATATATATATATATATATATATATATATATATATATATATATATATATATGTGTGTGTGTGTGTGTGTGTGTGTGTGTGTGTGTGTGTGTGTGTGTGTATACATATATATCAATCTATCTATCTATCTATCTATCTATCTATCTATATATCTATATATATATAATATATATAAACATATATATACATATATGTGTGTGTGTGTGTGTATTTGTATGTATGTATGTATTTGTGTATGTGAATTGTTCATAATCGGATGAAGAAATTATGAACCTAAGGAATGTATCATATATATAATCTTACGGAATGCATTTCGATTCGACTGGATAAAAATTGCGCGTGATTAAACCTGCATTCAACTTCAGTTAATCTTATTACATCATGAGCCTAAAAAAAGAAGAAAAAAAGTCATGCGTGAAATTAATCATGATATATGACATCATGATATATGATATATATTTGTATTTCGGATTATATTCGTGTTATTAAACTTTTGTGAATATATTCTTATTTGAAATATGTGAAAAATGAAATTGAAAATGGTCATAAAATACGCGTAACTTGAGAACTATGTAAACATACTTTCTAAAAGGGAAACGAACACATTACACCTTAAATAAGACTATCCAGGTCATAGACAAGACCCAGTATTTACAAAAGAATGATCATTTTTTAATGAAAGAGATTCAGGAGATATACTTTCACACCTAGAAGAGAAATGTGACGAATTTAGTCTCCGTCTTTACATAGCCTTCACGGTTTGGTCCCGCTATCTCTATCTTTCTTTTCCCCCTCGGACACGCCTTCCCGCAAATATACCAAAACAACTTTTAAATAACAGTGTTGAATTACAAGAGCGTGTTATTGTTTTAAAGGAGCAGTGGTATATTGATTAAATATATATTTTCATAGATTTGGGAGTATTTTTGAAGTTATTTTTACATCGTTCAGCCTTCATGGTTTGGACCCGCAACCTCTATTTTTTTTTTTCCCGCGGACACACCTTCCCGCAAATGCACCAAAAATTTTTAAATGACTTAATTAAGATTCCACGAATACCATGAAATGAATTATCTTTATAAATAAGTTAAAACATATTAGTGAAATGCATCCTTTTATT